GAACAAGTGATGGACTTAAGTGGAGTGCTGGGTGGTACGTGTGTGATTGAGGGATAATTTCTGGTGTAGTGGTCACTCTCCAGATCCACCCAGCTCAAGTTGTAAGCTGAGAACTAATAAAAGACAAATTGGAAACCTTCACTTAGAAGAGTGCATTAATTAGCAGGATCCTAGGATCAGACCCAGTTGTTGTGGCCAGTACAACTAAATCCATGGCAACAGTATCTGACAAAGTACTTTCTGATACATAATACGAAATCTTAACAAACGTTCATACTGTTTCAACAATGTTGTTTGCACATCTGCATTCTGAAACCTGCTTATATCCAGCTTGAAGATACAACATGAATCAAAAGTGGGAAAGAAGAGAGAGGCAATGATGCAGCAGGGCAGTACTGGCCAGGCTTGTAGGAGAGCTGAGGCTGGCTAAGCTCAGACTTCACTGCTTGTGATTACTGAAGACCATAACCAATAGGTGATTCCACAAGAGGGATTTGCAAATGAAAACATGTTAAGGAACTATCTTTGCATACTGGCTTGAATGGAAACCACCTCCATATCACCTTTACAAAATATGTACATTACAATAGGTAATTGAAACTAAAATCTCATCTCTTTTTCGTATGGATATATCTATTCAGATTTTTTTCAGAAACTAATAGGTGCCAGGCAGGACTGATTCAAATATTTTAGTTCTAGAAAGATACTTTCATCAGACCTTCTCTTATGTATTTCTGATGAAATGAAGTATTTCACCAGGACCTCAGTAGCTATGCTGTATCTTACCCATTGGACTGTCAGGAAGTACATTTTTCCATGCAGTGATTTGAATTTGAGTCAGTTCATCCATGGAGGATGGCTAAAGAGCCCAGAACAGTCTTAGCCAAGTAAGTTGCTGAGCATCCAAGATCACCTGTAAAAGCATCTTACCTGAGTACCAACAGCAATTTACAAGTCAATGCCCAGCTGGTCAGCACACAGGTCTTGCTCACATCCAGCTTCTACTTGGCAGCATCCATTTATCTCAGGCTCTCCTGCAAAAAGCACAGAAATGCAGCTAAACCTTGCTGGTATAAGAGGGACCTCCACTTTTATTCTCACTTTGAGTTACGAAGTCTTGCACTAAGTCACCTATGTGTAAATTACACCCTTTTATAATACACCCCAAAACTACTTCAGACTTAGACATTATAATTTAGGGTTTATATGAGCTCTCCCTTCCTGAAAAAAAGATCACTGCACATCTGTTTTTTTTCTCAGCTGATGGGAGTATTAAGTGTTTTTTACAATTCAAGCATGCAACTCTCTGAATGAGTCCCAATAATACTTTATTTATTAACAGCCTGAGATCTTGAAAAGACTAGATGAAAAATGAGAGAGATTAAGGAAAATAAAACCTGTTTCCCCATCTCACTCCTCAAAAATAATTCATATCTTGCACATGGAAAAAAAAAAGTGCATAATTTTTGACCCAAATGTTTTGACCACTGGCTTACTTTTGATTGATTTATTGCATTTTTGATTATAAGCATATATAAACAGGTTCAGATTAATAAATAGATCTTTGTCTATGGCAGACAGTAATAGGAAACGAGTTTGTTTTCACTAAAATTCATTGCTGTAATCCCATCGGTATTCTACTCAAAGAAAACAAAAATCTGTTCTGAAAAATACAAGTCCTATGTCAACGAACAAATGCGGTGGGACGAATAAATCAGAGCAGAGACTTCTTAATCCTCAAAGCACTATTCCCTATACCTTCCCCCCTCCCTTTTATCCCTCCGAGGTTAAGTATCAGAAAATGGCTGAAAGTGAGAAAACAGGAAGAAAGAAAATGGTGTGTCGAGGCACTTGATTGGTCAGATTTTGCTGCAGAGTCCAAGTTCCTGACACAGAGAAAGGAAAATTAATAAGATGAAGCGTATCAGCAGTTAAGAGAGAACTAAGAGTCTTTCAGTTTTTACGCTTTTCAGAAGAAATATTTCCTCTAAGCAATTCTCGGGGACTCTTTGTTTCGGAGTTAAAATGAGGGCTGTGTTCAACTCAATCCAACCGCTTCTTAAAGGCACAGGTACTGTTTTGGAGCAGAGAAAAGGGCATTACTTCCAATAATTCAATGAAACAGGAAGGTCCCTAAATTATATAAAACTACCTGCAGTATTAAAACAGACAAACTAACCAAAGCAGCAAACAAAAAACATCAAAGAAACAAACAAAACCAACAAAAAAACAGAACAACAACAAAAAACCCCAAACAAACAAAAAGAAAGGCGAAGTAAAGTCAGAAATTATTTTGGAAATGTAAATTTTTCAGTCACCAACTGTAGATCTATCAAGCAGGAGAGCAAGGGGATGTGCAACTGAATTTACAGTCAGGGAAAAATCTGTTTTCCAGATAGGATCACAAAAATTACTGAATACAACAGATAAGGAAGAGTCTCCATTTAAAAATAATTCTAGACTTGATAAGTTTTTAGTCACAGATATTCCTTGGAAAACACTTCCTCT